AACTACTTTATCATCAATACAGCTGGGTCTATAGATCTTCAACTACTTTATCATCAATACAGCTGGATCTACAGATCTTCAACTACTTTATCATCAATACAGCTGGGTCTACAGATCTTCAACTACTTTATCATCAATACAGCTGGGTCTACAGATCTTCAACTACTTTATCATCAATACAGCTGGGTCTACAGATCTTTAACTTTTTCTTAAAGAAAACCTTCTAATTGTTCATGATCTAAATGATCAACAGTCATCCTTCCAACTAAAACCGTTTTAATCAATACAATGACGAACAACTAATACACTGACATTAATTTATCCTAAAATAATACTTATTTTGCATTTTCCATTATTTATATATAAACTATTTGCCCTATTCTTTATTCACTTTAATTTTTTTATTGTATTCTTTGATTTACCCTATGGTTTTTGTGCATTAATTTCACTTCTCACTCCTTCTCAATGTTTTTTGAGTTTCATGTTCTCCAATGTCATTAAGATTTTACACATCTTATACTTATATGTATCAATACACCTCACTTAGAGTAAGTGTATATATTCCAAGCGGGACCCGGCATGGCCTGGTGGTTATGGCACTCGACACGGAATATGCAGGTCATGAGTCCAAAACCCGTCATCGAAAATGCTCGCGGTGTTATAATGTGACAGTCAATCCTACTTTTCGGTGGTAAAATAATAAAAAAATTAAAAAAGGAATAACCCAAGAGCTGACAGTGGGTAGTGTTGACTAGTTGCCTTCCCTCTAGTCTATCACTTCTAAATTACGGATGGCTAGCGCACACAGCCCTCGAGTAGCTTTTCGCGAACTTCCAAACACATCTTCTCAATCGTGTTTGTCGTAATTAGCAGACAATCGCCAACATTCTCACCAGATGGCGTGGGGTTGATACTCTACGACTGACTATTCACATTATATGAAACGGTGGGCTAAAAACAACATCAATCTCATTGATATTAAAGTCTTTAGAGAAAATCAGAAATCAGAAGTTCCTCAACTTTAAATTTTTCGAATCGGAAACTTTTTGCCAAAGCCGATTCTTTACAGACAGACAGACAGACAGCTGAAGTCAAACCTAAAGTATTACAGTCAGGGTTTGCAAAATGTCGTCTCCTGTTTTGTTTGAATAATTCCATCTGTTTCTATTATTTTAAAATGACAAGAAGATAAGTAGGACTAGAAGTTTCACGCCTTCCCTAATTTTGAACTAGTAGACTAAATGGAATATAGCAAGTCAACAGCACTACCAGGCAACAACTCTTGGGTTGTTTGACCGAACAGTAAGGTCTGAACGACAATGTAGGCGAGCTAAACACTTGGCTACGACCGGTGCAGGAAAATAAAATAAGAAAATAAGATACAAGTGACAATAGAAACAGTTTTGGAGACAGAATAAGATCGATGGCTACCAATCTTATACGTCGTACGCTTTATGGCGTTTAATACAAAACACGAATATTTCTATCACTGTCTCTGTGCTTGTCTTGAATAATTGTCACTGTACAAAGGAGGGAATCAGTTTAACTCTTAAATTACAAACTTTCTATTACACCCTTCACTATCGGTGGAATCCACATACTGAATCTTGTGGTTAGTTTTATGTTTCTGTCTGCTACAACACCCAAACCAAAACCACTGGGTAAACCATGTAACATACAGCAGTAATTAATGGGTTTAACTACAAAATTCAAGGTGCTTTTGATTCGTTTTGTATGTGTGTCTCTGACTCTTATGTTATTAGAGATTCTGTACCTAACAAAATACATGGCCCCACAAACAGTTCGTGGTGAGTGTGTGATTTTTATGTTATTAGGGATTATGTACCTAACAAAGGACATGGCCACACAAACAGTTCGTGCATAAACAATTTGGAAAATGTGTATATAAAAATGATAGGATTATGGGATTAGATTCCCGCAATGACGATAACGAAAGATAAACCAATCTTTCAAATTAAACGATACAAGTAAACTTTAAAGTTAAGATTAGTCAACCAAACTGCAATTTCAAATTAGGCTTATAAAAACTATTGACATTGTTTGAAAGTCCGGCTTGGCCTATTTCTTAGCATGCCCGGATTGTGAATCCGAGGATTCAAGGTTCATGACCTGTTGCAGCAAAAACGCCCTCTGCACTTGGGGGCATTAGATGCGTTACATGAGCGACAAACAAATCC